TCTTATGCTTTATGTCCCCTGGGGAAGGGACCTTGCCTTCTTCGTTTCTGTATCTTTTTTGAACAAGTGAATTAGTCATCAGGAAAAGGTCTCCAGCACACATACATTGTGTTCTGAGTCTCAGGTTCATAGGCTAATCCTAAAGTCTTTTCCTCCACGAGGTCAGAGGTTGCTTGTGATGAAGGGAGTGGTTAAGTCTGTAATGCAGATGGTAGAGGGGAGTTCATCCTGTTTTTAGGCATAGCATTGGAACTAAGAATTTTATGTCTATATGGGTGAAGGGGCAGGGATGTGTAGGAAGACAGTTCTAATTAGGATAGAGGAATTATACTAGGAAGTAGAGGTAAAGGAAGTGAGAAGGATTAGTAAATAGAAGAAATGTGAACTTACCAAATAGGCTAGTGTAGACCCCTGGAGATTCTTGATTAAGTGAATTAACTAGATTTTAGAAAGGTAATGAGGCAGTCATATGCAAGGAAGGTTTCAAAGTCTGGACACAAGAAGTCAAGCAACACTTTGAGAAGTGGTTGGTCTTTATGGGAATGGAGAGAATTACACTATTGAGAGATGTGAAAAATAATGAAGAGGGTGTCACAATGAGAAATTGTGTTTCTCATTTGAATCTGAGAAATAAACGAGACAATTATGGCTAAAAGACATTGGGGTAGAGGGAGCATAAAGGCCAGGGAGAAAGGGAACTGCAGGAATTAGTGCTGAGAAGCAGGAGTTTAGTGGAAGAAGGAGGAGATCCAGTCCCAGATACAGGCCAATAAGCCTTTTCCCTCTCCCAAGCATGGCAGTCAGCCTGCAGGAAGCGGTACAAGAGAAAAGGCCATCATACCTGCCAGACTTCCTGAAATACAGAAATGACATCACGGCTGCTATGTCGGATCAATGCCAGGATAGATGTCCTCTTCCTGAAGAACCTGTCATGGAAAGAAAAGAAGGAATGGAGCTGATGTTACTTTACAGGGGGGAACCTCAGGAACCAGCATGTAACATGAGGTAGTCTATAATTGTTTCTTCAAGGAAAGCATTATTTCTGTTGGAAAGTTGATGGGAGATGATTATATTCCTGCAGTTTTTTTTCCTCTCTCACCTTGTTTCTAGGTTTTTTATCAGTCCTCTGTCAATTCTCTACTGCACTCAGATATTTCAGAAAGATTTCGGATGTGTGAAAGGCTGATCGCTATTTTCTATGTCAGTAGAACTATCCACCTTTACAACTTTTCATGGTTGCACCTTTGTCTCAGTGTCTCTGTGGTGGCAGCCATGAATGAGACCCTGCCAGGTCTCCATGGCAGGGACCTGATTGACAGAAGGCCCAGGTCAGTGCATTTCAAATTCACAACCTCCTTTGCACAGAAAGCTTCCTTCCCACAGGCTCGCAGCAAGGGCGTGTAAGCAAGCCTAGTTCTTTGAGGCTCTCTTTAACTCTAATGGGTGACTGGTTGGAGGACTCCCCATCAGCCTTCCAAAAACTCTCTTAGAACTGCATTGATACCTAAAATTTCTTTCCCTTTCTTTTTCACAGGAGTCA